CTGGCCGCCCGTCGAAAGGGCGCTTTGCTGGACAACTCTGCCTATTTGCAGTTCATGTGGAAGGCCGATGTGGTCGAGAGCTGGATCGATGACAAGGAGAATTATGTGCGATCCGATGAGTTCGGGCGTGATCTGTCCACGGTGCAAACGCTGTTGACCAAACAGGAGACATTCGATGCAGGTTAGTGGGAATCTTTAGGCTGTGGCTTGCAGTGAGGAATTTGCTTATAATTGCTTATGTTGTTCTTCCTTTGTTTTTTTAGGTCTCAATGCCTTCGAACAGGAGGGCATTCACAACATCACGGCACTGAAGGACCAACTGATCAATGCCAGTCACGCCCAATCGCCGGCTATACTGAAGCGTCACGGGGATGTCATTGCCCGCTGGAAGAGTCTGCGCGATGCTTCGGATACGCGCAAGCAGCGTCTGTTGGCCATGCAGGAGCAGTTCCGCCAAATCGAGGAACTCTACTTGACATTTGCCAAGAAAGCTTCGGCCTTCAATTCTTGGTTCGAAAATGCCGAAGAGGATCTCACAGATCCTGTTCGCTGCAATTCGATCGAAGAAATACGCGCGTTGCGCGACGCCCACGCACAATTCCAAGCGTCTCTGTCCTCGGCCGAAGCTGACTTTAAGGCATTGGCAGCACTCGACCAGAAGATCAAGAGCTTTAATGTTGGACCGAACCCTTACACCTGGTTCACCATGGAAGCTCTTGAGGAGACCTGGCGTAACCTGCAAAAGATCATAGAGGAACGCGATGGGGAACTTGCCAAGGAGGCCAAGCGCCAAGAGGAGAACGACAAGCTGCGCAAGGAGTTTGCCAAGCATGCCAATCTCTTCCATCAATGGCTGACAGAAACAAGGTGAGTGGGCGTAGTTTTAGTAAAACATAGCTGGAGGTTTTTCCTCCATGATCAAAGGTACCCTTGCCCCGCCCTAACCTCAATCCACCATTCCCCCCACTACACACAATGAAAACAAACTCTTGGTGGTCTCTCAATCCATTCGAGCCATGAAAAGCGTAACTGAAACGTTCAATTCTATTTTTCTAGATATTATATGCTGGGTTATAATCGTCAAGGGTAATTAAGAAGGCGTCGCGCGTCTCTTGTGTATTTTATTTTGATTTTGTTGTACTCGTTCGTTCGAGAGGGCCACACTGGCGTGTGTCTGTCCAGCAGCAAAGGCCACTCCTCTCCTAACAGCTGAGCTGCTCCACTAACCAAAGCGCCTCTCCTCTTTGGGAAATAATGTCTTTTGCTTTTGTGCCACGCGCTCTTTGTAAATATCCTCAATCTAGGGTCTAGCAGCGGCAACAGCAACAACAACGGCAATCATAGTTTTGAAATTCAACAGTTTAGTTTTAGTGCCAAACAGCTGTTGTGTGATTTTGCATTTCTTTACATTTGGTCACACTTGAAAATGTATTTCCAAATTCGATTCAAATTATTTGAAAATTAATTCTTGAGCATGTGACAACAAAATATAATAAATTAAATACATAAATAAATCCTTTTTTTAGCGGTACAGAACATCATATGTAGAACTTTAAGCAATTTTTTTTGGTAGCCATTTTTTATTGAAATTACAAACTTTAAAATATCTTTGGCGCTTTCATTATTTTCAACTTCGCTTTATATAGCCATTAGACGAATTTATCTTTATTAGTTGCTGAATTCAATGAATCCAAAGAGAAAAAAAAAGAAAACAATTCTAAAACTACACAAAACTCTGCTCCGATACTCGTGAATTCCCTTGAATATTCCGCAATAAAAATGAAACAAAATTCAGACACCTGTAAATATGAACATAAAGGGACGACAAATTAGTTGTGAGCCCCGCCCCACGCCCAGAAAACAACAAGAAGAACTTATTCGCTGCCCCATAACAGACCTCTAACAAGATTTGCTTTTATTATGCATTCTACTATTATATCATTCTGTAACGTTCTGAATTTCTTTGTGAGAACTAAACTCGATCTGCTGATCTTTTGTCGTGCCGTACTAACGAATGCCCTTGTTTATTTTTCTGCAAATCTCTCAACCAACAACACTCCCATCCACATGCACAGAACATCAATGATGGAAGGCTCTGGTTCCCTCGAACAGCAACTGGAAGCGCTTCGCGTCAAGGCCACAGAGGTGCGTGCTCGTCGTGTCGATCTGAAGAAGATCGAGGAACTGGGCGCCCTACTGGAGGAACATCTCATTTTGGACAATCGCTACACGGAACACTCAACAGTCGGACTGGCCCAGCAGTGGGATCAGCTGGATCAACTGTCAATGCGCATGCAACACAATTTGGAGCAACAGATTCAGGCACGCAATCACTCGGGCGTCTCCGAGGACTCGCTCAAGGAGTTCTCGATGATGTTCAAGCACTTTGACAAGGACAAGAGCGGAAAGCTAAACCACCAGGAGTTCAAGTCATGCCTGCGCGCCCTCGGCTACGATCTGCCCATGGTTGAGGAGGGACAACCCGACCCGGAGTTCGAGGCCATACTCGATGTGGTCGATCCCAATCGCGATGGCTACGTTTCCCTGCAGGAGTACATTGCCTTCATGATTTCCAAGGAAACCGAGAATGTGCAATCCTACGAAGAAATTGAGAATGCTTTCCGCGCCATCACTGCCGCCGACCGCCCTTACGTCACCAAGGAGGAGCTCTACTGCGTACGTTTTTCTTTTATCAGCATTCCGACTGCTCCTTTATCTCATTTGATTTTGTGGCTTTACAGAACCTCACCAAGGACATGGCGGACTATTGTGTGCAGCGGATGAAACCCTTCTCGGAACCGCGCTCCGGCCAGCCCATCAAGGATGCTCTGGACTATATCGATTTCACGCGAACGCTATTCCAGAACTAATGGGGCTTTTGCGATCTTTTGTTCAGTGGCGCCTGAGAATATGTCTTACAATCTAAAAAACAACAAAAACAAAACAAAAATTATATATTTACACAATTATTTTTGGTAATTTTAGTCTCTAAGTCGAAAGCAATTTAAAAGCTTATTTAAGAAATTTATGCCACAATGAACCTAAAATCAACAACAGTAATAGCACACCCCCTGCCTGCAATACATACAATACAATTATATATTTATCAACATGACTATAAATCCGTTTAAAGTTTTTTGCGTTTAAAATATTTGTATCACCAGTTCAGCTTCCCGTTCCCTAACCGAAAAGTATCTTAAATTTGAAAATTTCAGTTGGAGGATTTCACGAGAGCGCCGTATCGAATAATTATACACATATTCGGTATTGAATACATATGAAACTTTGCATATAAACGCTTAGCTTCCAGTTAACGAGCATTACATAAACTTTCTATAGTCAAATGCCTGTAATCGAAATATCAAAAACGTTTAAGATACTCTTGCTATCCAAATCTAAATACATATAGATACATAATCCAGCCTTTTCCCAGTTTTCCTTGTCCAGTTTCTACGGTGTATTCGCAACGAAAGTAGAAAATTTCTTGAGCAAATGCAATTTTATAGAAAAAACAAAATGAAAAGCTTAACAAACAATAAATATTGCCTCTGTATTGAACACATATATTTACAATTCGTGAGTTGCAAATAAATATATTGCTGCATGTCTAAAAATGTTAAAAAATTCGAAAGTTTCCTTCACAAACATTTTAAGGGGGTTGCTTCCCGTTTATTCTTTACAAATCAGATTAACATTTACAATTATAACAAAAACTTCTTTATACTATCCGCGTAGGCGGCATTCGTTAGCTTTCCGTCGAGTGCAGCCTTGGGCAGCCACTCGTACTTGGGCGCGGGCGTCTTCTTGTCCCACACTTGGCCGTTGAGTAGGGAAGCGCGATAGAAGAACACTTTGGCCCCGACGCTCTCGGCACGCTGATTGCTTGGGTACTTGTACTTGTGGTAGCCCACGGGTGCGTTTCCGTAGAAGAGCACCTGCAGCTCGCTGCCACACTGTTCTCGTAGCACACGCTCTGCGGTCTGGCGCATGGATTCACCATCTTGCCGCTTGCCCTGGGGAAGAATCATGTGCTGCTGCTGGCCGAGCTTCTGTTGCACCAGCAAATAGAGCGTGTCCTCCAGGCAGCGGTCCGTGGAGCTGGTCTTGTTGGCCGCATCGTCGGGCGTCGTACGGGAGCCCAATTGGAATTTCTTCAGCTCCTCGACGTACGCATCTTTCAGATCTTGGGCGGTCTGTTTGGTCATGCTGTCGTCCAGATCCACCTGCACTTTGCCCTGCTTGATGAGCTCGGCCTGCACCAATTCCCTTTCGTTCTTCAGTTCATGGTCAGACTTCAGGCTGTTCTCGAACTCGATACGCCACAGCAAGTCCTGGAACTGCTTCTCCACAGGGCTGAGTGACTTGGATACGACGGGCAGGCGTTCAACGAGAACGCCGGCGTAAAGATCCCATTTCTCCTGCGCGGCTGCTGTGGACTGGGCGCGGGCCACTTGCCTGGCTCCCACTTGTACAAAGCGTCGCAGCATTGTTTAGTTTTTAATTTAAAAGTTTATGAAAAAAAAAGAATCCAAATCCAGCCCCGATTACATGAGCAGCGGGCGAACAGATGTTCGCGAGTTGCATTGGCCGGCAATCGTTATCGGTATCGGAGAGCGCGTCGCTAGCGTTTGCCGAATCTTGATTTGTATTTGTCGCGTTTTTCCATAAATAAACCAAAACATGTCCGGCTTGGAATCCTACATCAACCACACCGTGTCCATAATCACTGCGGATGGACGTAACTTCATCGGGACACTGAAGGGATTCGACCAGACCATCAACATAATCATCGACGAGTGCCATGAGCGGGTTTTCTCAACGTCGTCCGGCATAGAGCAGATTGTGCTGGGGCTGCACATCATCCGCGGCGACAACATTGCTGTAATTGGACTGATTGACGAGAGCATCGACTCCCGCCTGGACCTCGCCAACATTCGAGGAGAGCCCCTGGGACCCGTTGTGCACTAATGAATAGCGAATAAAAACAAGACTCTACTCTATAACTTTACTAAACTGCATTTACTTCCTCAAGACATCCACTCTACATTTCATTCGGATTCAGTACTAAAGTTAACCTGCCGGCAGGTGAGCGTGTCCAAATCCACCACGGCGACGCTCTTCGTCTTGCCAAAGCTGGGCACGCACACGAGGCAGGTGCGTTTTCCCTCTGCGGTAACATGAAGGGCCGTCTCGAAGGATTCGCAGTTGCCTGCAAAGTACACGTGTGGACACTCGCGCATGATGAATGGATCACTCTCGATGTACGGATAGCACGCCAGAGTGTCCGGAGCAGTAGGCGCCACATGGCCCCATGTTAGGGTACAGCGCAGGGCCTCCAGGGAAGATTCCAGCGACGTGCTGCGGAGGAGATCTGCCACATTCTGACCGGCAGTGCCCACAATGAGCGCATCATCCAGGCGGCAGCTGTACGGATTGGTCACAGCCTGGAACGATGAGAGCTGCGCCGCTTGGGGGAACATGCACTTGTGGAATGGCTGCTGTGGCAGCATAAAGTTGGCCGGATCGAAGGCGCCCGGCATCACATCGATGGGCAGGCACTGCGCCCACGATGCGAACCAACTGTCCAGCTGGCTGACCGCCTGGACAGTGTCGTTGGCATTCGCCTGAGTGCGTGCGACCTGCAGGGTCGGAACATGCGCCATTGCACTGCCGCGCACCGAGTTTCCGGCTATGATCAGTCGCACCAAGGATTTGGCATCTTTTCCATTGCCCAGACTGCCGCTAAGCCAGTACTGGAAGAGATTCAGGGCGTCTACATAGGTGTGGGATTGTAGCTGATCCAAGCCAGACACAAGCACTAGCAGTCGGTTCCGTTTGTTGGACAGTGGTTTCTGTGGCCCACTCTCGTAGTACATCACATCATCGACGTTGAAGAAGCCTTCGCTGTCGGTGCCGCCAAGCACAGCGCACACGACGCCTGTGGCCATGAGCTGGGTCTGCAGTATCTTACCCTGCAAGCGCACCCGCTGCAGTTCATCCTCCAGTATCACCTTGTCTTCAGGCTCCGAGTAATTCTGTCGCGGCGGCTGCGGTGCCAATTGATTCTCCTCGGATATGTCCCTCAGGATGCTGGGCTTGTGCGCCTGGTGCTTGTAGATGGTGCCAATCAAGATGCAGTGGACATCCTGTTCGCCACGCAGCTCGCACAGCTTCTTGATGGGCTCCGTTTTGCCCCACTTCTTCTGGACAAGCGGCGTCAGGAGGCGCGTCATCTCGACCAGGCGGTGGGCGTACAGGTGACAGAACTGCTTCTGGTAATCGTAATCCTTCAGCCGATATTGGCTGCTCAAGTTCTCGTAGGAGCTCTCCAAACGAAGAGCCATTGTTTACGATTGTGGTTATATTCTTGCGGGATAAACAATTAATTTTCTTGTGCAATTTGGCGCAAAATTTGTTGGTAGTTTTTCGATATGTATCGGTGTCTGTCAGCTGTTATCCGTTACTCGCACAGTTGCTAAATCTGCATTTATCGAAAGAAGAAGAAGCGCACAACTGATTTTCAGCGAAAAAGTGTATTGTGTTTTGGAAAAAAAGAGTTTTGGATGTGTTAATGCAATGCATTTAGTCTATAAAGGCACAAAAGAGATGCGGAACAATGTGATAGCGTGAATGGAGTGCCTTATGCCTCCTGCTCAGTGTCCTGTGCTGATTTGGGCGAATGTTTAACAGAGCGTATTGATTTTTACGACTGCGGGGACTGGACTGCTACGCATATTGTTGTTTATTGTTCTCCACAGCAGGCAGGCCCACAACAAGAACTGCGTCGCAGGACGGTGAAACATGAGAGTGGGTTGTCAGCTGGACTGAAGAGCGAGAAGCCAGCCAGTGAGGCGACATGGGTGGCTCTGTGAGCCAGGTGTTCCGTTCTGGGTCCGCCCTGCTCTCACATCGCGATGGCCACAAAGTGTCGAAGGCAACGGAGGAGAATATCCAGACGCTGTTCGAGATACTGCGTGCCAATCCAAAAATCTCGCTGCAAACACTAGAAAGCCTCCTCATCCAGATACCGAAGCACGAGAATATCCTGGTCATACATGACGATTGCGGGTACAACATCCTGCAGCGCAGTGTCGGCCTCAATCACATTGATCTCACCAAGTGGCTGCTGCACCGCCATCGGCCGGATGTAAATCGTTCTCCCTGCTCCCTGCCGCTGCACATTGCTACCCTGCGAGGGTACGAGGAGTGCGTGGAGCTGCTCCTGCGCCACGGTGCCCGTATCGATGTGGATACGCGGATGTGCTTCCCCGGCGCACATACGCACAACTGCGAGGAGAGCGGCAAGTGGCACAACAATGTGGACGACGTCAGCGAGCGATTGAACAACAAGCTGCAGAATGCTCTATGCTATGCGATCGACGGCGATCAGTACAATGTCCTGAGCCTGCTCACACAGAAGATGGAGGAGCCTTGGATACCGTTTCGGGCTAAGAAACCTCTCCTGCATCTTGCCTGCGAGCGTGGTGCATGGAATTGTGTGCAGCAGCTGGTGCTGACGCGATCCGAAGAGATAAATCTCATCATGGATGAGTACTATCCGATCCACCATGCCGTGCTGCACGATGGCCGCTTCCTGGAGCTGCTCATACAGCAGGGGGCGGTGACCACTGTTCGTACCTGCACCCAGCAGATGACACTGCTGCATGTCGGTGAGTTCTAAATTAAATTAATCCCTCAGCAGAATTTCATAAAAACAAAATTCCCTTCTGCAGTTATATTTGCTGCCCGCAAGCCGGCCGAGGACACGCTGGCCACACTTCGCATCCTATTGGAACGCGGCTGCAAGGAGTTGATCAATGCACCCGACTCTCTGGGGAATACACCGCTGCATGCACTCATCGTGCGCTATGCGTTGGAGGAGGCTCGCTACGGCTACGACAAGTGGAGCAAGTGGGACGTTTTGTATTTGGTGCGCTTCCTGCTGCAAAACGGAGCCAAGCAGTCCATCAATCAGGCGGGCAATAGTGCGATGGCCTGTGTGTTTCGCCACCTGCGTGACTGGGAGGTCTGCTACGAGCTACTCAACATGCTCATCAAGGAGGATGGTAAGGGAAACCATCTATGAATATTTATTGAGACTTATTGGGACATTGTTTTGTAGGTGATCCAAACATTGTGGGTAGGGATGGGTCCGTGCCCATAATGGTACTGCTGGTGCCGCTGATCAACAAGGACCATCTGCACCATTTTACGCATTCAATGAAGGTGAGTCCAAGCTAAAGCTAAAGTACTGTCACAGCGCATCGTATAACCTTTAATTTTAGGTCTGCTATCTGAACTGCATACGCATTTTGCTGCAGCATGGTGCGAATCCGAACTGTTCGTATCGCGCCAATCTGAAGCCGCTGCACGTGCTCGTGTTCACGGTGAGCGAGAACTTTACCCTCAATTGTGATGCACAGAAGCGCACAAACTTTGACTTTATAAAGAACATTCTGCTGCTGCTGCTGCAGCATGGCCTGGACTGCAACAAGACATATCAGCACATTCTGCAGGCTGTCATGGATATGGTGCAGAATGTGCGCACTTGCCACGACATGGAGTGCATCTACGAACTGACGCTGACGCTCATACAGTACGGGGCCGATCCCAATATTGTGCTCAGCAGCAAGACCACGCCGGGCATAGCGATCTTCTCGAGCGAAATAGCCAGCTATGGCGAGGCCCTGGGCGCCGGTGGGGCCGCCGCTGCTTTGGGCGGCGACAACACGTTCCGCAACTCTTTCCGCACAAACTCGCGATATCTGCTTTTCTACTATATTATACTGATAACGAAGAAGGAATTTATACTCAACGATCCGCATTTGACGTTTACGCGCATCATCCACCTCTTTTACCTGACCATGGAGCACGAGCCGCTCTACAATTGCCTCAAGTCGCTGCACAATTTCTACGTTGCCCAAGTTCCCAGCAAGAAGACCGAGCAACTGATTGCCCTGATATCCACGCTGTACCGCAAGCCGCGCAGCCTCAAGCAACTGGCTCGTTGGGCCATCTACGAGGCGTTGAACCGCAAACTGGCCCCAAATGTCAATCGCTTGAATCTGCCCGGCCCACTGAAGGACTATGTACTGCAGTTTGAGAGATAACAAGTAAGCGTCGTCGATGTTAACCCCTTACTTAACGACCAATTAAACCCAACCACAACAAAGAACTAAAATCAATCATTACTGCAATTGTTATGTTGCCCCTAAGCTATATAGTACATATATACGAGTACTGTTTAATATACATATTTAACGCATACTAATACACCTACGACGTGGTATAGTATCGTATCGTATGTGGGGCTAAACAATAATTACATATTTTACAGAATATGATATATGGAAACGCTTAAACGTATGTACCTAGAGAACTACAACAACTACAGAAACACACCTAAAAGTACTATTGGCGAAATCAAACTTGTGCAATTTCTTTGATACGAATCTATTATTGGAAAAGAAAAGAACGCTCATCTACTTGTATGTTTTTTGTATCTATATTGTATACGTATTCAGATTGTATAGCTATTGTATAATGTATTGCATTGCGCTTTATTGTAAACTAAACTGAAAGAACGCTCCGCAACCAGTGCCCAGCCGCTGGCCGACAGGGACGGAGCGTTTTTTCCTATCTGCACCGATCCTATACCCCTCCCCTGATACCATCTCATGCCGTAACCGTACATCGGAGTCGGAGATCTGCATTAACTTGAGGCTTTTGAACTGATGAATATTGGGTTTTTTAGAATATTGTATTGTATTTGCAATTGACGAGATGTTATGTAATAAATATTGTCATTATTGTTGCTAAAAAGTTGTTAATCTCTGTATCTATAATGTATTTTCAATCGAATTGATAACGATCAATCAATAAATAAAGAACAATTTCGCCATCTTAAATTGTATATAGCCCTACAGGAGAAGCTTAAATACAAGTATAAAGTCAGAAAATGTACCTGAAACCGTGTTAAAGTGAACGGCCGATGGTGTCACCACTAGCCGCCAGTGTCATCCCTACTTCTGCACAGCCCACTCAAAGTAACGGGACCGACCAAAGCAAACGCCAAGTACCCCTCCGCACAGCAGTCGTAGTTGCCGGCTCACGTACACACATACAACTACAACAAAAAACAACATGCGAACAGGTGCACAGAAAACAGAGAAAGATGTCGCGCAGCCAAAGAGAGAAAATACGATACGAAATAACGGTAAACAAACAAAACGGCCCATTGCTTGTTGTTGTTGGGGAGGGTCTCTGCTTGTGCGTAGGAAAAAATATACATACATGCATACGTACGTACATACAGTTTTCTATATAAATTTGGGGGGGGGGTGTGTGTGTTTGTGCTTGCAAAGGCTTTTTCGCCGTTAGCTGGGCTTTCACAGCATCCATCCCTTGCTTTCTATAGAGCAGGAAGGACAAACAGACCAGCATATGTATACGTGCTCCCTCTCTCTCTCTCTCTCTCTCTCTCTATCGCTACTGTGCATCTCTCTCCCCAATAACAATGAAAGTGCGATTGCCTGCCATAAAAATGTCTATTAAGCTGTCAAGTTTTGACACTCATAAAACCATCAAACAAGTCAAACGAACAGGTTCGCAGCAAAATGTGTACGTAGAACGGCTGTCAACATTTTTCGGTTCATCCTGGTGGCTTTCTACACGCACACACACAGCGAGGCACACTCGCTAGGAGGTTGTGTGTTTTGGGCCTTTTCATATTTTGCCCCGTCCCCAAATGCCGGAGGCCTTATTTATGGGAAACAGCAGGCTGTGGAACTGTCCGTTAGGAGTGGGAAGAACAGGAAGAATGCAAAGGCGAGGAACACACGGATTATACCTAATTTATAGTCGAAACTTCTGATGGCTGGAAGGGGGCCATTCCAATTGGACATTTGTGAAAGAAAAGAGGAAACGGCGAAATTCGCTAAATTTCGATCACACAAATAAGAGAGCGTAAAAATATAATGCGGGAGAACCTACAAACACGACTGCACATACATACATGTGAGTGCATGTATGTGTAAATACTTGTAAAGAAGTTCAAAGAGAGCCTGGAGTCAGCTCAAATGCCGGGCAGACAAAACGGGAACGCAAAAACAAACAAACACAACAAGTTGCCTGGGCAACAACTATTAATACGGAATACGGAAAATTGTCAGGCATTGAGAGTCGAAAACCTTTCCATGAATAGAATCGAATCCAGTTGCAGAATACTGCATTGAATTTTGGATGCGATTGTGAAAAAGATTTGAAAAAATGTACAGCCGCAAGCTGAGCCGCATGCACCGGCCGCCCTCGGACACCAGCAAATACGATAATGAGCCGTACATGAAGAATCCCCTGCTCAAGTTTCGCATTTCGGATGTGCACGAGCGTCGGCACTATCAGTTCCTTAAGCAGAAGGCG